ACTAATATTTAAATTTGTTTGATGATCTGAAACAAAGTGTGACAAACATGCAAAAAAATAAGAAATCAGGAAGGGGGACAACACTTTTTCACACCACTGTATATACTTTGAATAAAATGTCGCTTTGGATAACTATATAAATTTAATGAAATTCTCAATATCATAGCAGAGAGCCATTTAAAACGACATTTTAGAAGTCCAGGATAGAGTTGTGATTAAACAAATACAAATTTGTACTACAAAGAAACATAGTTTCCATCATTGTGAAACATAAAGGATTATTACATCATGTTGTGTAAGTGGAACCACGGCTTTTATCCAGCTCCAAGGGTTATTTTTTTCGTCAGATTTGAGATCTGATTTTCAGATTCCACTGAGGTTAAGCAGCCACCTCACTAATCATAGAAAAATCCTACTACATTACAAATGCTTAAAAACATAGAATCAAAACTCATAAACAATCAGTTTGAGGCTGGTGACTAGTTTACCTTGTTGGTTTGTAATAGTTTGGCATGAAAGCAGGCAGGAAGGGCATGGAGCCAAAGATACGCATAGGAACGAATCGCATAGGCCGGGGAATATTCCCATGTCTGCATTCCTGTTCCATACAGCAGGTAGTGAGTCTGGCCAGCAAAAAGACAGAAATAAAAAGAATGTTGAGTGAACCTTTCTTTTTTATATATACCAAATTGGTAGTTTTCAAAAGAAGAGTGAAATTCAGCAATATGGCCCATTCAACCATAAGGTTTTTACTTTGATAGTCTGTTTGTGATCAGGAATAGACATAACTTTCTATTGAAGACAAAAGCAAGCTTTTGCATTTGAACTGCGCCTGGACAGTCTCTAGTAGGTTTTATTATTGATACCCCAGGGCATCATGGGACACAACAGTGACATAGATCAGGGCTCAACAATAAGGATTTATTTATATAAGAAAGGGCTGTGCGATATTGAAGAAAAATGCGATATGCGATAACTCATTAAATAATGCGATATTCGATATGCGATACGATAATGCTTAAAGTGCCACATGCTCAGATGAAACAGTTTTACTCAGCTGTTGCCGAGTCAGCTATGTGAACTTCTATAACTATCTTGTTTCATATATATATATGGTTATTTGTATGTATGTATGTATGTATCAAGAGCTCCTGTAAAACCACAACAAATTCTTTGTGTTTGCGCACACTTAAGTGGTGAATAAAGCTCATTCTGATTCTGATTCTAATAAGAAAGCACCCCTACAACAACTTCTGAAAGTGAACGGTAGTGTTTTACTCGAGCATTACATAAAAATTTAATTTTAACATTAGTGTAATCATTTTAACATGAGTTTAGGAACTGAATAATAAAAAGGAAAAATAAAACACTGCTTAGTATTTACTCTTTTAATTCAATACGCACTGATTCTTATTTAAGCTACAACATTTATTTAGGTAAGAGCAGTGAGTGATTTTCTCTTTGTCTTTTGTTCATGGCCCCAAATATTGCAAGCTGTAGCGATATGCATATTGCAATATGTACATTTGCGATATTTCGATATATTGCACAGCCCTAATATATATATATATATATATATATATATATATATATATATATGTGTGTGTGTGTGTGTGTGTGTGTGTATGTATATATATATATATATATATATATATATAATGTTTTACTTAATTTCATAATTTTCAAAAAAAAAAAAAGTGTGTTGAATTAAAAGTTGTCATGGAGTTGTTCACTTGTCCCACCATAAAAATAATACATTTTAATATATTAAAAACATGTAAGATTATATTACAAATAAATATACTGTAATTGTCATAACAGGTTATATTGTAGATGTATGTTATAATATAGTATGTTATAATATATAACAGAGTTAAAATTATAAACAATAAATATTTTGTCATGTTTTTTTTTTTTAAAGCTGTCATGGTGTTAAAAACGGTGTAGATTCCAGCAATAATCGAAAATGTAATTTTTTTGTCTTTTAATTATTTTTGTTATTAATTAATATTAATAATACTTAGCTGTAATTGCACATTTACAAAAGTATTTGTGTGTATGTTATGATTTCTGTGATTTTGTTATTAATGTTTAATCATTCTAACTATCACAAGTCAATCTGGAATTTTTTTATTTTTTTTTTCAAAATCTTTGTTAGTCAGATCAATAAGGTTAACTTAAATCGGCAGAACTGCAACAACAATAACAAATTAATCACAGAAGATCAAGTTCAAGCAAAGTGTGGAAAGAAGCATAACGACACATGAGATGTAGTGAGAATGCGTCGCTGGACCAACAGGACAAGGGACAGCTCCATCAACTGCCCCAAAACTCTGTCACAATGGTCCCGGGCCATCCTTATTGCTGTACCCTGAGAGCTTACCAAAAACTGTAAACCAGGAAAATGAGTAACTCACTGGCTCCCAGTAATTGTAGGTTTCATCACAGTCCGAGATGTTACTGAGCAGCGCAGCACAGAAGCGGGCTGAAACCAGGCACTTGAAGGCCGTGGAGCCCTCAGGAGCCCACACCTGTCCTGCTTTACTGGATGACCTGTAAAGGAGAGGCGGGGGATAGGAGCTAATGTGCTTATCTGGGAGCAAACTAATACGCAATATGGGAACAGAGCACAGGGTTATACAAAGTTGCCATTCATTTATTTCAGCATTCAAAACAGCGTCAGTCTAAAACTCATCCACAAGCATGATCAATACAGATGTGCGTGAGAAATTCAAGATTTTCACACAGAACAAAAGACAACAACGTCAACAGAGGGTCATTTCATTCCTCGTGCCTGTATTACTATGCAAGAAGATTATGAAATTGGACACGCGCGAATTTGCACCTGAGATACACGGCATCAAATATATATTATAAGCAATAGAAAGCTGACCATTATCTAGTGTCTCTAAAGCACTCCAGCTTATGAAAGAACAGTCATTAAATAAACCACAGCATATGTTTTGGATGTTTGCATCCCGGTAGAGCTGCGATGTGAATGAATGAAAGCCGTCATGTTACACCGAATCGAGCTTATCCGTGTCGCCTGCTACATTTGAGCATTTCTATCTCTCTCCGCTTATTTAGATAGTCTATTGACATTACATGTGTTTGCTATCTGTATAAATCGCATATCCAGGCAGCCTGACGTTAGCGAGCTAGCGACCTGTCAACAGCACACATCATTTACACCGCGCCGGAGCTGGACTGGCTTAATGGTTACTTACTCATTTCGGGGGTCACTGGACTTATTTTCCTCAACACATTTGTCGTCTTTTGTTGCTCGGTTGTCAGTGGTAGGTGTGCTGTTCACGTTGTTCGCGTCTTGTTTGCTTCCCCGTCTGCTGCGCTGACGAAGAGCCTTCGTCGCCATGTTTCTGCTGGCTGTGCGTGACGTCATCATCGGAGCGAACGCAGGACGGAGAGCCACCAGCGAGATCTCATACCTGTTCTTTTTTCTGTTTAGTTTTTTAATTTTATTTATTTATTTTTACCTGTATTATTATTTATATAATACTGTATATTTTCTATTTCTTTTTGTAGTTTATATTTGTTCAATACCTTTACATTATATGCTGGAAATCAATTTAAAAAAAAAATGTAAAAAAAAAGAGCCACCAGTGAGAGGAGGATGGCAGATACTGTTATTTTAGTGTCATTGTATCAAATTATGTTATTTTAGTATCATTATAGTTTTAAATGTTGAATTCTTTTTACTTTTTTTATTATTTAACTTTTATTTAGTATTCATTTTAATTTGGGAAGATCAGGCCCTTTCTTTCAGAACATGCAACACAACTAACTCCTTGTTCAAGCTCTTGTTCTATCCAGGCTGGACTATTGCAATGCTCTCTTGGCAGATCTTCCAGACACTTCTATCAAACCTCTACAGTTAATCCAAAATGCCGCTGCAAGATTAATCTTTAAAGGGGTCATATGATGCTGCCATCAAGAATATTATTTTGTGTATTTGGTGTAATGAAATGTGTTTATGCGGTTTAAAGTAAAAAAAAAAAACACATTATTTTCCACATACTGTACATTATTGTTTCTCCTCTATGCCCCGCCTTTCTGAAACGCGACGATTTTTACAAAGCTCATCAGTCTGAAAAGCGAGGTGTGCTCTGATTGGCCAGCTATCCAGTGCGTTGTGATTGGCCGAATACCTCAAGCGTGAGACGGAAATGTTACGCCCCTCACCATACTGTTGATGCCGTGTCCGGCCGGAGCGACGAGACAAAAACATTCAAACCCATTACAAACGCATTATGCAAATCTTCCCACATAGTGAGGTAGATATGTGGGGGCGTGTTAGAACGAGCCGTTTTAGGTAGGTGTGGCTGACTCTTAACTTTTATAAAGAATATCTCTTTGGACTTGAGATTTTAGTCTTTGCAACTTTACAGATCTTCTTTATGCACCAAGAGCTTGTAACACTCCAAAGAGAAAGGAAAAATTGAAATCACACCATATGACCCCTTTAATGAGCCGAAAAGAACACGTCACACCTCTGTTCATCAATTTGCACTGGCTACCAGTAGCTGCTCGCAT